TATTCAAAATTAGCCAACAGTAACCGTGGAGTAGCAAAGGGAGCTGTGCACACCTGCATGCCCATGATTGTGCGCGAACCACAGCTGGGAAGAGTAATGGATGACTGCGTTGGGTGTCCTTTTTTCCCCAAGATGCGGTTCTCAAAAAGTAGGTATAACAGGCCAGTGAAGAACATCAACAGGCCACCCCAGGTTCTGCAAATGTAATCAGCCAAGGTCAACAAGTTGGCAAAACGGTCAGGATATACATACATAGTGCCTATCTCTTCGACCTTGTTTGCCGGTAGCAAAGTGAAAGTGCTCATTAGAAGACAACCCACAAACCATGAAAAGGACAGCAGTGCATGCTTCTTCACGAATCCTGCTCCGTAGCAAAGGGGCCAAAAAGCGCCCAGGACAAAGCACACAGTAAAGATTTCGCGGTGGAAGTAGGATTGCACCTGTAGACACCTATTAGCTGACACTCCAAGCTCCATGGGTAAGGCGACTTACCAAAGCCTCCAATACACCCACGAAAGCCAACAACTGGAATACAAACGCGACATAGCCACTTGCGGAGTGAATATGACCCATAAGGATGTCGCGGCCAGCAAGGAGAGCCTTTCGTCGGGCGAATACCTCTTCCCAGAAGAACACCGGGAAGAAACCGTAGAGATAATACCTCCAAGAAGAGTGCTGAACAAAAAAGACAGAGAAGAGCGCAACAAGAATTGACGAGAAGAACGAAGTGCTGAACGCCGTTCGGTCAGAGTCTGAGGTCCCATGAAGGACATGCAAGTCGATAACCGTAGTCAGAGCATAGGCTATCCAGCCCAGGTATCCCAGCGTGACGATGGTTCTGAGGAATAGCCAGTCGTATGTCTGTAAGTAGCGCAATCCCTCCAAGGCATTTGCCAGTAAAGCGGACGACATTGCAATGGACTCGTCATAGGAGCCGCTTGTTATCTTGGACTTTATTTCCTCGAGGTGTTCATCGACAGAGGTTCGGCCGTGGTCAGCTAGTGGCTCAAAGGGCCTGTACCGAAGCAGGGCTGCCTTTTTCTGTTCCTCCTTCACACGGTACATCTCCAAGACCTCCTGAGTGTTGGCCAACGCGGCCAGTGCCTTGTCCTTCGGACTAGCGTCCAGATATTGCAGCGGTAGCTGACCAACAGAATTAGTAGGAAAGTCGAGCCCAGTCAGGTAAGCCATAAGGGCCGCCACATCAGCCTGTGCGACATCGTTTCGCTGAATGCCGTCAAAGCCCCAATCGGACGACACGCCATCCTCGTGCCCAGTAAGTGTCCCTTCCTGAGTGTATCGAGGTCCGGCTACACCAGAACCCCATACAACAAGTGGCGTCCTAGTATTGTCCGGATGACCGTCTCCATGACTGCCCCAGTCGCTCATTCCATGGTCAGCTGTGAAAACGAAGGCGGTTTCATCATCCCCGTAGAATTCCTCCACCAATTTGGTTATTTCCTGCACACCTCTGTCCACCAACTTGATATTACGAAGATATTCCTTCGAGTATGGGCGACTGAAATGACCGGTAGTATCAAGCCCAAGAAGATGGAGAAAGAAGACCACCTTGTCCTCGCGCAGTTTCGCATCCAGCTCAGGATCAGTTTTGGCGGAAGCGAACAGATCTTTCACTTTCTCAAACACCCAGGTGTCAAGCCGTGTAGCGTCAGACGAGAAGTCCTCCTCCTCTTCGCCGTATGTATCCGCATCAACCCTTCCGGGAACCGCGCCTTCCTGGAACATCAGAAGAATATCCGGACTACCCCAGCTCCATGTATGCCGACTGCGATTGAAGACACTGTCGAAGTTCACCGGGTTCAGCTTCCATCCCGTGGTAACCGCCGACACATCCTCATATAACCCCGCGATAAGCGCAACGTGGCCGGGTCGCGACTCCGTAGGAACTCGAGTATGGGAGATTCCGAAAGTGCCATGGGAAAGCACACGCGACCGAATAAAGGGGGCCAAGTAAACAGGATCCGCATCTTCTCCGGTGGTATCATCGGGATCGGGCAATGCTTGGAAGGCCTTATCAGCGCGCAGGCCATCGGCGACAAATAGAACGAGACGTTTTGCGGGGGCAGCAGCATCGGGCTCTCGTTCCACGCGGAACGAGCTCATGCCACTAACGATCGGACTGACGAAATAGATGTCGAAGATGGAATAGGCGTAAATTAAGTGGAATACCACCGCGAGGGTGAGGAACCCTACGCGGCCAAGTCGCGCCATGATTTCCGATATAGGAGACCCGGGCAGGGACAAGACAAATTAAGGGAGGGAAATGGAGACCGCAAAACGAATGCAAACCATTAGAAAGAGGAATAGATACAAAGAAGAAGAATGAAGCAAAAGGAATTTAAGAACGGCGAATGAGGCCGATGCAATTGCTTCCTCGCATCGAGCTCAAAAGAGAACGAGCAAATAAAGTGCAAAAGAACAAATGGGATGATGGCAGCTCAGCACTTTTCCGCGTGCCTGAATTGGGGAACTTGGGGAAGGGACCCGCAACCAATCGGGGTCCTCCAATTGGACACGGACAGCTTTACGGCGGGCCACAGGGTCCTCGGGTGCAGTCCCTTACTTTATTTGGTGGTATACAAGATCATAAGGAGATGGATTTACTTATGTAGTTATTGTGCGCGAGTTGACTCAATGTCTTCTGCCACTGAGAACCATCATCTTCTGATCTTATAGCCGGACAGATACCATCATATTCCCGCCAAGTCGGATATAATTGAAAAAAGTATAACATAAGAAAAAGCATGGAATCGCTCCAGAAGCGCCCTAACGCAGTGTCCCGGCGTCTGCTATGCGATAAGGGATATCTCCAAAAGACTCAACCCAGGTAATCAAAATTCTCAACAAAGAAAGCCCAATCACAATGACAGTATATATAAATCAATGGGTTTGCACACAAATGACCCGCCAAGCGATCAGATGGCAGCAGTACTCCGCCGCTTGGTCAGCGCATCGATCACTCTGGTATAGAACTTCGATGCTTGTTGGCGAACAAAGGTAATGTCGACAGTCAAGTACTCGGGAAGAACATCAACCAGTTCACGGTCTCTGTTCTCATCCAACAGTGGGATATATTGAAACTCAGCAGATTCAAAGTTGGCCGACGATACGTGGGGCACAACCAGCTTGAAATGAAGGGCTGTACTCTGTTAGACACCTGTATCAGGCCATCACGGGGCATGGTCAACTTACTTCCATTGCTACCAGTCTGAATACAATCATACAAATTGTCAGACGGTCGCTTCTTAACATCACGGATTATTAGGCCTGTGAGATCAGTGTACAAATCTTCCTTGAGCTGCGCAAATTGAGCTGCCTGCGCGGCTTCCGCAGTGACCGCAGCAGCATTCGCACGATTGGCACCGCTCTTGATTGCACTCCCAGGCATCTTGATGGCCGCATTCTCAAGGCTCGCAGCCGTGTTACGAGCCGCGGCAAGCTTCGTTTGCAAAGCCTTAACCTCAGTCTGTGCAGAGGAGAGCTGACTCGTCGCATCCTCAGCTTGCGACTTCAGCCGAGCTACTTCAGCATCCCGTTCCTTCAGCTGTCGTTGGAGCGACCGACTTTGCTGACCAAGTGCCTTCTGGGCCTCTAATTCTGCCTTCAATGATGCGATCAGGTTGTTCGAAGCTAGCAGCTATCAGCATATACGATGCCACGAAGGAATGTTCGTAACACTCACCGTTGGTCATCGACTCGCACTGTTTTCGTAGTTTTTCCATGTTCGAGTTCGCTTCAACAATGCCAATCTCTTTAAGATTCCGATAGCGATTCTCAAGAGTATCGCATTTCTTCGTCAATTCACCAATTCGACGACGCAACTCGGGCTCCACATTGGCCTCTGCCGTTCCTCCTAGCCTTGACTTTGAAGGAGAGCTGTATATGCCTCTCTGGGATTGTCGTTTTGTGGGAGAACGTGACACGGATCGGGCTTCTATCGGCGCATCTTGAAGCAGAGTCTCGTCCACGACATCCGGAGCAGTGCTTTCATTGTCTTGTGCGTCGTTGTTCTCCTCCACTTCGGGTTTCCGTTTTTGTCTCTTCGGTGGTTCTGGTCTGTCTTCAGGTTTGTCCAGCGATTTGCGTTGTCGGTCAGTTGATGGAGTGTATTCAAATCCACCATCTGTCTGAACTGAGTTTCTTGTGGCGGCATTTTTCCGGCTACGCGGGGCAGCCCTCGTAGACTTGGTGGTCCTTGCTGGCTTTGCAACTTCCTGTGCATCGTCTGCTTCATCATTCGAGGCAGCAGTGCCTTCCGCCTCCTGATCGCCTGCTTCGTGTTCTGACTCTCTGACCTCCGCCTGCTCTTCCGATATGTCTTGCGTTGCTTGCACCGAGTTTCTGCTGCCCTTGGGTCTGCCCCTGCGGCCGCTCTTTCTCGTAGGTGCCTCTGAGGCTTGCGGAGGTGCCGTACTAGAATCGCGCCCGGCTTGCGTAAGGGGCTTCATCTCTGCAGATTTCGATCGAGGTCTTCCTCTCTGCTTCTTAGTAGGGCGTTCCCTTCCGGAGTCATTAGCTTGGATGGGATCCTCATCGCCGGCTGAACTGGATAGCGCAGCAGCGGCCTTTCTTTTGGGCATTGTGAGAACAGTATATATGGGCTATATTAAGTGACAAGATAAATTGAATATATAAAGACGGCGTATCGTGAATTGTGGGGTGAATGGACGCGACGAGGGTCACACTGAGCTCCGCGTGCGCGCGAGCTCCTCCGCCGCCCGACCGCAAACAACAACACTGTGGCAGTGAAGCATGTGACGCCGTCGGCAAAGCCACGTCTCCGACCGCTCGGCGCCACACCTGCGCTCGCTGTCGCCGACGGCCGTCCGACCCCCATCGCATGCATCGTTACAGCTTTAATCGATATTCTGCCGCTGCTGGACTCGGGGCATTCACTAACAGACGATAGCGTTGCGGATTTATATATTAGATCTTGGAGCATCTTAGTGATCGGACATTTGCTCCGCTATCCTGTCGTCATGGCTTCAGCGCGCGGTCCCCGATGGCAGCAGTTCTTGCAGGAATTGGTGATGGTTGCGGGCACCGTGAGTCCAAATGCTCTGGCAGATTCGTTTTACGACTAACTCGTCATCGCTATCAGTCGGCATCTGCATACTTCCTCATCCGATATCTCCTATCCCGCCTTGACTTCGACCCGGAGTCTCAGAAGAAAGAAGAACAAAAACGCAAGTCGGCCGCCATCCTACGGAAGCTTGATGGAGGAGACGAGTCAGATGAGGACTCACCGCGTCGCGGAGGAAAAGGCGGACGCCGGCCAAAGAGAGGGGATCTTGTTCTCAACCAATATGAACAGGCTATTGCTATGGACGTAGTCGCTCCAGATGACATCCCTGTATCATTCGAAGACATAGGAGGTTTGGACGATATCATCGAGGAGCTGAAGGAGTCCGTCATTTATCCTCTCACAATGCCCCATCTCTACGCTTCGACGTCATCGCTTCTTACTGCCCCGTCTGGTGTCCTTCTCTATGGGCCGCCTGGATGCGGAAAGACCATGCTTGCAAAGGCGCTCGCTCATGAGAGTGGGGCATGTTTCATTAACCTACACATCTCTACTCTGACTGAGAAGTGGTACGGCGATTCCAATAAGCTGGTCAACGCCGTGTTCTCGCTTGCCAGGAAGTTGCAGCCCTCGATCGTTTTCATTGATGAGATTGATGCCGTGCTGGGCACTCGACGGAGCGGGGAGCACGAGGCCAGCGGTATGGTCAAGGCCGAGTTCATGACTCACTGGGACGGTCTTACTTCGGCGAACTCGATGGGCGAGCCGCAGCGAGTGGTTGTCCTCGGTGCCACTAATCGCATAGGCGATATTGACGAGGCCATCCTTCGGCGGATGCCTAAGAAGTTTCCTGTCGCTCTACCCCCTGCAGCACAGCGGCTTCGAATCCTCAGCCTGGTTCTGAAAGATACCAAGGTTGATCGTGATAACTTTGACCTCGATTATCTGGTCAAGGGCATGGCGGGTATGTCAGGTAGTGATATCAAGGAGGCTTGCCGGGATGCAGCCATGGTGCCAGTGCGCGAACTCATCCGCCAGAAAAAGGCGGCTGGACAACAAATGACGGCCGTTGATCCTAAAGAGGTCCGGGGTCTGCGTACAGAAGACTTCTTCTCGCGCGCCGGAGGTGTCCGGGTCATTCCCCCAGCTGCCCAGCTGGCGAACAAAGCCAACTCGGAGAAGGAGTGGAGTACTGAGTCGGAGGCAGCGTCCGAAGCTGAAGCACGAACACCCGCGGAGATGGCGGAACCTCCCGAGTAGTTGCTATCAGCTTTCTTTCTTGAATAAGTATTGTATGACTTTGCAGATTATCACGCGTCCCTTTTGACTCAGTACTGCGTAAAGGGCAAGGCGTTGGGATTCTTGTTTGCTTTCTTTTTCATTGTGGATATACTATCGGGATTTAATGGCTGTGGTTTGTATGTGGCTTACGTCCTCCATTGGGGGTGTAGAGAGTCGATATACCCGCTGACGAGATCAGGAATATGAATTTCACCATCCAGCCTGTACTGTATAAAGTAGATAGATTCCAATATTATCACCAATCAGCAAGATCATGAACCGGGTCTACGTGGCCAGTTAAATAAGCCAAGTTTCAAGGCAACGCTGCCGATCCGTGGAGGTGGTAATGCCATACGGTACTGTACATACTGTGTACTCTGGGCGTATCGGGACGCCACCGGCCGACGTCAAGAGAAACAAATTACGGCCCTCAGCGATGGACTTCAGGGCACCGCTTCAGCTGGAAGGCATCTTGCCGATCAAAATCCATTGCCCACCAATTTCTTCTTCTTCTTTTCAATCGCTGCAGTTGCCCGCTGAATTATCCGCAAGCACCGAAAAATCCCCGGTTGCTTTCTTTCATCTTGTTCCGACCAGAGCATGAGACAGCCACCCCGCCCTGCCGACGTCTGATCTGCCGACTTGAGTCGTCATCACAGGAGGCTAAACTCCATACTTCTTCCTCTTCCTTATCCCGCGCTTCCTCCCACACATCCTCCTCACCCACCCCAACCTCCCCCCCTCAAACCCGCCTCAGTTCGTGGTCATCCATCCCCTGGGTTCAGAGTTGGGCAATCCTGCGGCTGGAATACTTCCCCGGTTCATCTACTCGAAACACTGGTGATCTCGCCGCTCCCTAGATCCCCGTGCTAGCTCCGAGCTTCAGGACACGGATGCGATAACTACAGCGCCCGGATGACGAATGGTCTGTCGTAGAGACCTCCGATGGCAAATTGTGCCTGGGCGATCTCACACACAACACTGAGCTTCTGCCGGTGACCTGACGACTCCCGCCCCTCCTTAAATCTATCTTATCGCCCCCCCTAGTCGCCAGGGATGAGTTCCAACGGCGGCTTTGCCGACCTCTTCAGCCTTGGGACCGCGAGCACGACAAATACCGGCCGAAGATCCACCTCGACCATTCGATCGCGCAACCGCCGTCTGATCTCGTTCACAGAGGATGATGTCGACGAGAATGGCAAACAAATGCAGTCCTCCGGGTTGTCGTCGATGCTATCCCCCGATAACTCCGCTGTTCGCTCCCGCGGTGCTACACCATCGCCTAACCCGTCCCGCGGAGTGTCCCCCATACCCATGAGACATCCCTCTCGAGCAACCGAAGCTGCCAATCGTAGCAAGGGAAATAGCTCCTTAGGTGGGTTCTGCCGTGAGGAGGAAAGTGGAATGATGTTTGCTGAGTCGTCGCGAGCCGCTGTAGACTTCTTTGATGCATCATGGACATCGCTTCAAAGTTTAGCCTCGTCGGTACTAGGGAGCGATATTGCACGACCGGCCACCACCAACGGAAGTACTAGGACGCATGTGAGGAAACCCTCCCGTCCAGATCCTTATATGAGGCCCCCTGCACGGACGTCGACACCAGCAACCTGGGGTCCCTCTGCCCCGTCTACGCCGGAAATTGGAAGCGGAACCCAGGAAGAGAGACAGGCACTAGTGCAGGCAAAGAAAAGGGAAGCCCTATTATTAGCAGACACGGGCCCGGCTTGGAGTACGACCCCGCGACACAAACGGCGGGATTCCAGCGATCGGACGGGTCATTCGAATATTGATCCTGACCTCGATGAGGATGCCTTAGCTTATATACATCATGTACAGTCCACAGATACCATTACCGGTGTTACGATACGATATGGATGCCAGCCCGCGGTATTCCGAAAGGCCAACGGCTTCTGGCCTAGCGATAGCATTCAAGGCCGAAAAACGGTCCTTCTGCCGGTTGATTCGTGCTCGGTCAAAGGACGGCCCATCCGGCCTAGAATGGGAGAGGACCTTCTAGGAGATGGTCGCCAGGAAGGCGAATCTTTGGAGGATATGAACGGCAGCTCAATAGCACCAACTCCATCGTCTACGTCTGCCGAGGGGGGAACATCTGCGTCTCCTGCGGCAGAGATTGAAGGTGACCGAATATGGAGGCACGAGTCGTGGGTACATATCGAGGGCTTTCCTGCGCCGGTTGAAATTGGCCGCGTCCCCCGCAGAGCATTGGGGTTCTTCCCACGAACGCGGCGGAAATCGGTTTCGTATTCGGACTCGGTGTCGTCTCCATTATCTGGACGAGGCACAACCGCTCCCTCATCGCCTTCGCCAATCGAATCGGGATTTGCTCAGCCAGTCATTCCCAAATGGAGTCGCCCGCACGCCGATTCGTCTGCGTCACGTACCTCTTCCAAAGGCAAGCCCGGCATTCGCCATCAACGCCAGCGCAGCAACATCCAATTGTCGGGACCTGGCGTCGGCACTCTCGACCATGATTCGAATGCACCGGGCCCCGCCATGGACGGACTTAGCAAATTCTTTGCACAGCATATGCCGAATCTTGCGCCCGTGGCTCGCCCACCGAATTTCGAAAGCTCGTCGGAAAGTGTGTCGACGGCGGCCGCGAACACACCAACCAGCCTGGACAACCTTGGCGGAGCAGTCGAGTCGTGGGTCAGGAAAATGACGACTCGAGCCAAGGCCAGCTTGAATGAACTGCAGCAGACGCCTGGCCCGGTAACCCATGACCCCGCACAGGCCGTTGGACGACGCGGCAACGGCGATCTCATCGAGTTGAACGACGGGATGGAGTCTCGCAGCTCGTCGAATGCGATCTCCGAGCCTCGGTGGAGACCCGATTTGCTACGGTCGGGATCAAGCCTTCACGAAGGAACAGCGTTGCGGGGACGTTTCCTCAGCCCTTCACCTGGGACGAGCCGGACTCGTTCTGGAGGGGACAGGGCGAAAGATGATTGATGGGCAAATACGCTCCGAGCGCGCCATCTCCGTGGCTCGGAAGCTTGCTCCTTGATTTGTTGTTTCATAATACTTATTTTTGCTCTTTCGCCCGAGTGCAGTGGTGGCTGCATGTCGGGCAGGTATTTAACTTGGGCGATACCAACTACACGTGCACTTGAAGCATAGCACGGCGCGACGGGGATGCGTCGTCTTATGACTATAATTGATGTGGCCGACTGACTGTTTGGTGTTAGGGATCTTGTGCTAGTCTTGGTTTTCTGTATTTAGAAGAGAGTGCCGGTGGCATTGTGATTGATATAACTAGAGCAATGCGTGTCTCCATTCGCATCCTCATCGGCCATCCCTTATACCCTGATGGTGCTGACGGGTGAGATGTGGTGATAGCGAGAATAATATTCTGTGTATAGTCTATCCTCCTTGTGCACTGCAAAGTCAGCCGATCAGCGTCATTATGATCATCCCCACTCAATCCTCCACTTTTGATCTTTATTCGAGACAAACTACACCCATCTCAATTTCAGCCCGAGTCCATAATCGTCCACAAAATCCCCACAGGCAGGGTACAAACCAGGGTCTTTTTCCCGCCGGAGAAACTAGCACTTAGCTCCTCACTAGGTCATCCCATCGCGTCTTGGCTCCTCATCGCCAACTTTCCACCTATAATCTGCATCGACATGCTGCAAAGCCACGACTGCTGCTGGCAGCTGCATGCACCCCAACATTAACCCCGCAAGATACATCCATCCCTGAGTCAATCAAGCTTGATTGTCTGTTACTCCTTCGGAGATACTAGCCATGAGCAGTCAGATTATCGTCCCAGATGACATCAATCCCACTGATAGTCTATCCCATCCTGCTCTATACAATGGGACGCCCCACGTCCATGTAAGAAACAGACTAGCTTTGCTCGGCGTTAATCAATTATGATTGCGAGTTTCACTGCCTTAGTCATGTATTATTATCTTTCATCTCTCGGAGAATTAATTCAGCTGCTCATTGCCACCCCTAGGTCTCTAATAAAGGTCAGCATTACTCGTCTCGTAGCTAGCTAGCTGGCTTCCTCCTCCAGTGACTGAGTCAATTGACAGGACAGCAAAGTAGCAGCCATGGCGAGCACACTCCTCTGGCTCTCCCTGCTAGGGAGCAGCGCCCTATCTTCCGCTCTAGATACCAGTAATACCCCTACCATCAAGAGAGCAGACACAGGCAGCAACAACACCTCCTCAATCCCAACCGCCACCCTCAACAACACCGTCTTCGTCGGCCGTTCCCTGCCCGAGTTCGAGCAGGAGTTGTTCCTAGGTATCAAGTTCGCAGACGAGCCCGTGCGATTCACCCCCTCGACGTTGAAAACGGCCTATCGCGCCAACGACAGCGACAACGGGGTATACCATGCCTCCTCAGCATCAGGGCTGCAGACTTCCTCAGGGACTGTGCTGTACAACGCCACCGAGTATGGATATGATTGTCCCGGGTATGGATCCGACGAGACAGAGCTGGCGGAGGAGGGATATGCGCGGTTCGATGAGAACTGTATGAATCTGAATGTCATTCGGCCCAAGAGGGACAATGAGGATGAGTTGTTGCCGGTTATGATTTGGATTTTTGGTGGTGGTTGGGTGCAGGGTGCGACTGCTGATCCGAGGTATGATCTATGCTTCTGTACTGTGTTGAGCTGGTTGATGCTGATAATGTGCAAGATACAATATGAGTTACATCGTCCGCCAGGGCGCATTGAACGATAAGCCCGTCTTGGGTGTCTCGATCAACTATCGTGTGGCTGCGTTCGGATTCCTTGACTCTGTTGAGGTCATGGTGCGCTACTACCATAACCCTCAAGTATATGAGTCCAGCTGACACGACATCTACAGGAATCCGGCAACACGAACCTAGGACTGCGTGACCAGCGCATCGCCATGCATTGGGTTAAGCAGAATATCAAGGCGTTCGGTGGTGACCCGGACAAGATTACCATCTGGGGAGAATCAGCGTGAGTATACTCATGTTCCATATAGACAGCGCATCTGACATCCATAAATAGTGGCGCCTACAGCGTCGGAGCCCACCTCGTCACCAACGACGGTGACAACGAGGGTCTATTCCGAGCCGGTATGCACCTCACCCATCCTCCAATCCAGTCCACAAAATAACCATCAGCATGCTACTAGCTATCATGGAATCCGGCAACGCCGTGGGACCCCCGTACAACGGTACAGACTGGTACCAGCCGATGTACGACCAGATCGTGAACGCGACCAAGTATGCCCCCATCCCCTGAGACAACACCCAAACACCCACTATAAGTACTATATATACTAACTAAATCCAGCTGCACCACCTCATCCGACACCCTCCAATGCCTCCGCGAAGTCCCCTTCTCCACCATCTACACGGCCGCCAACCTCGGCCTGGAATGGTTCGCCACCATCGACGGCACCTTTATCAAAGAATACCCTCAAATCAGCTACACAGAGGGCCGCTTCGCCAAGGTTCCCATCCTCCATGGGACAAACACCGATGAGGGCGTGAGTTTCGGTACATCAGGCGTGAACACTGATGCTGAAGCTATTCAGCAGTTGACAGGTGAGTTGCCCCCCCCCCCACCCCCCAAATCCCCAAGATATACCTAGTAGTATTATACTAATGTAGAATGATGGGAAAGCATCCAAACGCTGGGTCCTAAACGAAACCCAAGCCACAACCCTCCTCTCCCACTACCCCAACATCTCCGCCCTCGGCTGTCCCTACGGATGGGGCAACACGACGTGGCCGAAACTGGGATATGAGTATAAGCGTTACGAGTCGATGGCGGGCGATCTATGCATGGTTGCTCCGAGGAGATTGCTTTCCCAGAAGATGAAGGAGTATGAGGAACAGGTGTTTGCGTATCGGTGGGATGTGGCCGCGTTGAATGATTCGAGTACGATTGGGGTGGCGCATTTTGCGGAGGTAATCCATTCTATTCCTTTCTTTCCTTGACTTTTATGCGATTTGGTGACTGATGATATATGTGTGTGTATAGATCCCCTTCGTTTTCGCCAACCCCGTACAGAACATCACTCCGTTGGGAAGTGATCCAGCGAGACTAGAATTGGGTAATTTGGCTGCGAGGATGTGGACGGCTTTTGTGTCGGATTTGGATCCGAATGGACATGGTGGTATGCTTCCCTCTCCTTCATATACGCCCTTTAGGGTAGTAGAGTTGATACTGATAGTGGTGACAGTATCCGGTATCCCCACCTGGCCGAAATACAACCTCTCTGATCCTCAGGACTTTGTGTTCCGGGTACCAAGGAATGAGAGTTACGTGGAGAAGGATACGTTCCGGACGGAGGGGATTGATTATATTAATACGATTGTTCGGTGAGCAGAGTATTATCAGTATGTATATAGGGTAGATACTACTATATCAGGGATTAGAACTACATTGATAAAGAATCCATTCCTCGACTGATCGATTATATTGATCTAGTAAGTAAGTCAAGTAGTAATGTAAAATCGACAAAAAGCCGCCGTTTTTAACCATTTATTTGATTGATTGCAACCCTGCTATACTATATAAATGAGTATAGCTGGTTGGTTTAGTTGATGCCGAGCAGCTCAACCTCGCTAATAATCATCAGTATTCCCTTCTTCATTGACAGGGTAAAAGGTAACTTACAAAACGAGAGTCGAGTTAGGGGGGATCAAGCCAGGGAAACCACGGGGGCCGTAGCCGTAGTCACTGTACAGAGTATATTAGAATACGAATTTCATACCAACTATAGCATTCTTTTTTTTAATGGGTGAATGAGAGGGAGGGAGATAACTCACGGAGAAATAGTCAGGATGGCCTTCTCGCCAACGCTCATCTGGGGGACGGCCTCATCCCAGCCTGGATATTAATTAATTAGTAAATCGGTCCATTTCATTCAAATCAATATATATAAGTAATATATAAATATAGGGAATATACGTACCCTTAATGAGACCACCAACACCGATGGCAGTCTTGAAAGCACCGCGACCACGGGAGCTGTCGAACCTGTTGATTCATTAAATTAGTATGATGATGTCAGATTCTCTTTCATTTCTTCGTCCATTTAGAATATCCATATAGCGCAGTACAGCCACTGTCATGGACATCTACTTTAAAGGCTATGGAGAGAGAGAGAAAGAGGGAGAAAGAAGGCAGGAAGGGGCGAACATACTGCTTGCCCATGTTGTTAGGCTTGGACTCATCATACAGGCAACCAGTGTAGTGCATGGAGATCTGATCACCGGGCTTGGGGAACTGCTGGCCGTTGCCAGGGGAGATGATAGTCTTGGTGACACCCATTGTGATAATTGTGTATTTTCAGAATATGAAATTTGATGGAGAGAAGAGGGGAAAATAGAGAAGAAGAAAAGGTGAAGCAGAAATGATGGAAAACGAAGAAGAATCGGGCCAAGTGGGGGCGGGGGGTCAGTTGGTTGATTTATACTTTGGATTTAATTATTTCAGGGCGAGACCAATTTGCTAACTAAATTGATTACTTTGGGTTGGCGGTGTATCATTTACTGCTACTGCTCATATTATTATTACTACTTTACAAGAAGAGGGGAGGAGGGGGGCAAAAAGGATAAGGTTTGATATATTGGGGGAAACGAAAGGGCATGCGATGATGATTGACTGATGATGATGGAAGATTCGCGCCGCCTGTGTGGGTTCGCTTGGCGCGGAAAAGTCCAGTTAAGTTACGTTACTACTTCACTACTTATTAATTGCCTTCTCGCTGTGGCCTCATTGCCCTGCCCGTCTGCAGGTCTGCAGCTAAAAAGTGCTGTCCCAAATGGAAGTGCTACTTAGATAGTACTGGCTGCCGCCTGTGCCGCCTGTATTATTTATTATTTTATCTACTATGGTCTACTTCAGTACTGTACTTAGCTGCTGGCTGGCTGGCCGCTCATCGACCACCCTCTTAACAGTAAATAATCCACAACATCATCATCAATCATTCCACGTTTATTTCTTCCCGTGTGATAACTCAGATGGGGAAAAGCAAAAAACTAAATCTCACCAACTGTCAATGCATGCAACCCCAATCCCCATGCATGTGATGCATCCTGTCAACTCCCCTCCCCTCAAATCATTCCTGACTTCGTGGCTCTGCTCCATCCTTACCCCCAAAACGACATCTTCTTCACCTCCTCCAACGACACCTCCTTGATCTGCGTCCTCGGAAACCGTGCATCAACGGGCGCATCATCACCACCACCCTCCCCCAATCCCAGATAATGCAGCTTTGACACACCCACCTGCTCCAAGAACGGCACCACGCGATGGAAATTCAGCCCAACCTGCTCCAATCCATGACTATCATCCGACAGACAAAACCTGCCCCCGCGAGCCAGAAATTCCTGACAAATCTCCCCATTCGGATACGGCTCCTTCATGCCCTTCCTCAACGCTGCCGAATTCACCTCCAACAATCCCCCGTATCCCGCCACGTAGTCCAAATTCCGTAGAATCTTCTCCCAGACCCGAGGATACTGCTGAAAGCTCCGATCGGGATCATCGCTCTTCAACCGGATCAGATCGAAATGCCCCACTACTACCGGCTTCACTTGCTTCAGCATATCCAACTGCTCGTCAAAGTATGCCTCGAAGAGTAACTCGTCTGTCCCGCCGGCTAGCGTACGCGCTTTCTCGTACAGTGGTCGGTCATAGTCAATAGGCACGGTCAGCGTATGGTGCACGGAACCCATGAAGAACTCGAAGGGGTGCCGCGATAGAGACTCCTCGATTAGCTGTCGCGAGCCCGGCCGGATCCAGTCGATCTCGAACCCGATGAGGATGTTGATTTGATCGGCGTATTTGGATCGGAGGCGCGTGGCTTCGGCGAAGTAGGCTGCTTCGTTGGCTACGTGGCTGGATTCGGTGTCGCCGGCTTCGATCTGGGTTGGTTAGTTAATTAAATGGCTATAGGGTACGATAAGCCGGTGTTTCTGGGATAGAGAGTACCTCTTCTGGGTAGAAATCTTCTTCATGGCGGGGCATGTGTTCAGTCAGGCAGAAGGTGTGGAATTTCTTGGAGATGGCCAGCTGGATGATTGCTTCCAGGTTGTCTTTGGCGTGACCAGGGCAGAATTGCCCGGAGTGGCTATGATGAGTGAAGGGCATCTGGAGAGATGTATTAGCAGGTGAAGTAGACTTAGAGTGTAGATGTTTTGATTGAAGTCGTGATATGATGCGATGAGTATCACTTACCGCGGCCGGTTACCCCGCGATGGAGGGGTTGCTGTTGTTGTTGCTGGTATATAAGGGGAAGCAAGCCGGAGCTCGTGAAGGCCAGGCTGATTATAACTGGTCAGCCACTGATAATCTCACTAAAACGTGATCCTGGACTAGGAGGTGGTGAAGAGGACCGTGTGAAGAAGCAGGAGTTGTTGCGGCGAGTCAATCTGGACGGATGTTCTGCTCGACCGGCAGCTCCGCCAGCATCTCCGACTCCAGATACGAGATGACGATCACGCTGTCTACAGACTATATTGCAATATTTATGCCATTTATTATGTATCCATTACTATTTGTTCTCTAGTATACATCTATTGGTACACCCCAGTATGTATACAAAGCTAGCCAGCTAGCTCTACCACATGCCCCCTCCTACCAAGCAGGCCAATTTTCACACTTCCATCCAACTATTACCCCATCACAGCTATAGCCACGATTCAACCGTCTCAGCATCACAGTGAACTGTCCGAATCCAGTCCCCGTCTAGTATCTTCCCTATATCCTCCGCATGTAAACCCTGATGAAAACCCATATACTCCTAGAAGGATAAATCTCACCCCGCCGCCACCACCATAGCAACGACATACTCCCCATCATGCGAAATGGACAACTTCCCTACCCTCCCAGCCTCATCCCCATCCCCATCTAAATACACCACCTCCGGCCTCCCTCCCTCCTCCCCCACCGTAACCACCACATCCTTCCAGCTAATATGCGCCGCGCCACGGGGCGCCGCTTTCCGCGCGGCCTCTTTGGCCGCGAACCGGCCGGCGAGCCACCGCGTCATGTCGGGGGATATACTTATGCTAGGGGTAGTTGGCAATTGGGAGGGTATTGGAGGGAGGGAGAAGCGGGTGCGAAAGTCTTGTTGTTCGCGGGCGTGGAGAATGCGGTGCGTGAAGCGGGTGAGGTAGTTGGGGCGGGCGAGGAGGCGGGTTATTCGCGGGAGATGGACGATGTCGGTGCCGATATTTAGGGCGAAGGGGAAGGGGATTGGTTTCATGGTGGTTGTGTTCGCTGGGTAGGTTGGTGGGAGTGGTCAAGTTGTGGGTTGGTTGGTTGTTGGGATGTTATTGTGAAAGGTTGGATATGGTCAGGTGACTGTTTGGCTGTGTGACTGGTAGGTATTGAGTGATTGGTGGGTGTGGTTCTACAGGCACATATTGTAAGAATCTATAAACCAGGTAGTCATTGTAGTGGCCAGTCGTGTTTATTCCCAGCAAGTACTGGATACTCTTGGTTGTTGTGATCTGCTGGCTGTTACACGCATGCTGCTTACTTCTACACCGATATGCACCTCGTTGTAAAGATTTTACCAGTTCCAGACACGGCAAAGTTGGAGAACAAACGTTCACGGTGTATACTCTATATGTACAGATTCACACCTCCCGTGGAACCGCCAAACCGTCCCAGCAGGCAAGACTTCAAGGACACACACTGCCCGAGCCCGGCAGGGTAGAATCCAGACCACCCTGACCAACGACCCATTCGGTCATGGATATCATGCATCGAGCATCTTCAATTAGGCGTTGTCCTCGACCGATTCCCGAATTAACGCGGTATTCTAATGGTCTTTCTTCTTCTCGTCTCCGTTCACTTGTTTCAAAAAGTCCCTGTGAAATTTATTAGCTTGTGTTCCAGCACCCCGACCAGATCATTTAGTCTTGATTGCAGATATGTCCATCTGTCACAGAGGCGAAACGTACTGGATGAAGGTCTCCTCATCCTTGGAGGAAGCCTGGATGGGAGGGGTGGCAGGCTTGGGCTGGCCACCACCACGGGTAGCGAGACCAACACCGCCGAAGAGAGCACCGAGAACGCTCATGGCGAGCTATACAGAGTTAACTAGTCAGTGTACAAGTTCCCAGGCAGCTGGCAGGGTGTGCCATCGGCCGATGTTATGACCTCGGCAGAGATTGGTCCCGGGACAGGGGAGGGTTGCAACGGGGCGGCAACGGAGACGTACAACGTGGGAGCCGACCTGCTTGCCGGCGATCTGGTAGTAGACGACCATGATGACGGATTGGAGGAGAGAGTTCAATGGAGAACGGTCAGGTCAGAGCGGCGGATGTAGCGGTGCAATGCGAGGTCCAGCGGGAATCAGTCGTTGGACGGCAGCGATGGAAGTTGCGGCTATGGTCCTTGCCTGTTTGGGACTGGCGTAGATGCTGAGTCAGAGATGAGTCAGGCACATTCAAAGTGACTTGCTGAGTCAGTAATGAGTCAGCCTAGTGATGTGTCACGCGAGCTAGCTTTCATCTCACGTGATGTCCCGGAAGTGCCCGACACGTGAGGGTCCCGGGAAGACATCACGGGATATGATGGCATGATTAGAGATGCCCTGAAAAGAAACGAAGAGTTGCGGTATCACAACACCTGCAGATGCAAAATACAAAAGCTACAGCCAACGTCTGACCACCGAGTACTCTGTACACCGTAGAGGCTAATTTACCCACCAATCTAGCAAATCATCATAGTATGTGGCGGTGTCATCACACAGCTCTCTCCACCAAACTTAGTTATAGCAAAGCTCCCCCCATCCGAACCTCGGGGGAAGTGAAATCATCCCTGGACGAGACGTGGAGAAATCCCCCGGCTATGAGCTGAGAGCTCCTGCTGGTCGGTTACTGCTGGCGGTTATTCTTGCAGCGAATCGCCGATGCTATAAGATGCTGCCAGTCCATGGTTTCTTTCGGCCCTGGATTTGCTGGAGCTCCTGTTGACTTTCTAGCTGTCTGGATTTGAAGTCACCATCTCTTGCTTCTTCTTCTTCTTCCCCCTTGATCTACTACTTACTACTAATCTCCATTCCTCGCTTCAAACTCCCTTCCACATTTTTTCCAGTCTCCTAGAAATTCATTCCTCCCCCTCTTCTTTTTTTTCTCACCTCTCATCCAAGCGTTGCTCATTAATCCAACCCATCGCATTTTATCCCATCATCCTCATCATGTTCTGGGGAAAGCATCACGACGACACGCCCGAAGCGGCCCAACAACCGCCCATTCCTCGCAAAAAGCTCCCTTCACATTTGCAAAGACTAGCCGACAACGACGACAGTTTTTATGATGACATTTATTCCTCATAGTAAGTGTGACACCATCCCTTTCCCAACTTTAGTGGCGATGTGTCGGGAGGAAAGAAAGGCACTCTTTCCATCTCCGCGTTGTGTCTCCCCGCATTTTCCGATCCCCGCAAGAAAACCACCAAAAAAGCAACTTTCTCACACCCACACCAACCATCCACAACTTAATCATCATTAACCAAGAAACCTCTACTACAGCTCCGTAGACTCCACCGAAACCCCCTACCGCTACGCCGGATACGCCAACCGACTCCGCACCGTCTTACTCTCCGCCCACCGCTACGTCGCCTACACCTCCGACATAGGCGAATCCTTTCGCCCCGTCGCCCACCCCTGGCTAGTGCGATCCGCCTACGGCATTTCCTGGACCTATCTAATCGGCGATGTCGCCCACGAAGGCTACAAAGCCTACCTCCGCAATCGCCGCGTCCTAGCGCCTCCCTGCGAGGCCTACAAAGATGCCAGCGACCTTACCCACGAGCAAGTCGCCAAGGGCATGGTAACCGGCAACATCGCCGGCTCGTTAACAGGCAGTAGCAGCAGCGATACGCTGATGCCATGGCCCACGACTCACGTCCCCCTAGCTGAAGACTACCGCACCGTCATGGCCCAGCGCGCCGTGTTCCAGGGTATCGCCAGTATGGGTCTTCCGGCCTTTACCATCCACTCGGTGGTCAAGTACTCTGGGCGCATGTTGAAGAATTCCCGGAGTGTCTTTTTCCGTACTTGGGCGCCTATCGGGGTGAGTTCTGTTTCTCCGCTTGCGGTATAGAATTATTCCGCTAACACATGCAAATTACTACTTGCTAGCTCGGTCTCTCCGTCGTGCCTTTCCTCCCCTACCTATTCGACAAGCCCGTCGAAGAGGCCGTCGAATGGGCCTTCCATACCGGACTCCGTGCGTATGCCGGTGAAGATGCCGTCCGTCCGTTACCTCAGGCCGTGAGGACGCCTCATGACGAGGAGACCTCTCTAAGCCACTTCCTTAAATTCCAGGCTGAGAAGAATAATGGCGAGGTCATGGGCTACGATGCGAACGTCTCCTGGGAGAAGTATAAGGAGGAACGTCGTCGAGCGAAGGAGCAGCGCATGCAGGAGCGTGAGCAGCGCGGCGAGAGGGGTCCGTTGGCGTTGTTGGGTTTCGGGTCGAATTCGAAAGAGAAGAATGAGTGATTGAGTGATTGATTGATCCCTTCCTACACTTTCGTTCCAGTATCTCTTCATTTTAACTCTTCTTTTTCTCTTGCCCGGGGTTTTCTTATGTCATTGGCGATGGAGGGATGGACGGATGGAAGGACGAAATGGTTCTTCTGACTTTCTTATCATTCGCCTCTCTCTCCGCTGCATTCTTGTACTGTACATAATAATTGTCTCTTAGCGTTTTTCTGCTCTCCTTTCAGCCAAACATCATCAGTCATCATCATTACCACGAACCACATCATTCAAGGACCAGATCAAACACATTACCTGCTACTCATCGGTCCTCCGCATTTGCCTATCAACAGAAACAATCCCTACCTAGGTCCCGGTTCAAAAATACCTTCACACATCAAAACAATCAGAGAACTACTCCTACATCTCTACAAAAGAATCAACCACATTTGAACATTTTCATTCAGCCCAACCCAACCGAGTCAGATTTAATCCAACTAGCTGGGCTAAGCTAAATAGCTAGCTTTGCATGCTTGCATTTCGATCTACTTGAAAAATAAGAAAAGAGAAATATACATCTGTACACATAGCGAGATAAAAAAGGACGGACAAAGAGGTAGAAAACAAAACGCGGGGTAGGAGAGTATAGCACGGCGTTCACTCGTCACAGCAGATACCTACCACCCAATCATTAAGAAAGCGTAGGGGATGGGGTGAGTTCAGTCAGGAGGGATAGGTAGATCCATGGCTGAGGGAAGATGGGATAGGTCATATGGAGAGGATGGAAAGAAGATATAGAAAATGGGATAGAAGAAGAGTAAAAAAGTGATTGCGGTGGCAGGTCTTTTTCTGTGTCACCATAAGGAGAGTAAGAATGGAATGGATGAAAAGGTAGTGGAAAATGGCACAAAACGTGTGGGGAATAAGAAGAGTAGAAAAGAAAAAGAAAAAGGATATAATCAAACAAATGCCAGGGAAATGAGGACGCGATGGCATATCAAGATAAAATGTGAATACAGTTGGGAACAAATGGCAACATCAACAACGCTTGGTATGTATTCCACACAGATTAGGGGCCCAACGCCCCCAACAACCTCTCTAGAGCGTTGCGTCATGGCTTCGGCTTATATTTTGGCCCTGTCTAGTATTGAACAAAGTACACGATCCATGGTTTATAGGAGAAATACTGATGGGCTTAGTTCCAGCCGAGCGAGTTCTCGGCCATCACCGGCGCGCTGATCATCTGGGTGCGGCCAGTGCCCCGGCTGTTCTGGCTGTTGCGGGAGAGACGGCCACCTGCGCCGAAGACGGACCCAGCGCCGCGGCCTTCGCTCATCTGGTCGACGCTCGAGGGGGAGCGCTGGTGCAACTGGCGCTTCTTCCGGTACCGACGCGCAACCCAGAACATACCAGCACCATATGCTGCAGCACCGGCCACAGCACCACATCCTATACCAACGGCACTAGCCTTGGTGGTTCCAGATGAGCTGGTACCAGCATCGCTTTGGTCGTAGCCACCGTCACTGCCATCGCCGTTGCTGCTGCTGCTACCCGATCCACCGCTGTTGGACGAGCTGCCACTGGAAGAACCCGAGTCGCCCACCAGAAGAGGGATGGAAGGGTCGATCATGGCCATCAATGTCTTGACCGTCTCGTTGGGCTGCTCGTAGAGCCTCGAAATAGGGTTGTGGAGCATCTTTCTCAGGGTGTCAACGTCATCCGAAGGGATGTACATCAGCGCAACAGTAGCAATGTAGCCAGTGCTTGCCGAGTTGTCGTAGGGTTGGAGGTCGTACATGACCACGTCAGAGTCATTGAGCTGCAACGCGTAGCCCATACCCTCGGGAACATACATGAAGATCTGGGAGGAAGACAAGGGCGTTGTGGCCACAAAGCTCCAGCGCAGTTTGCCATTGAATCCGATTTGGACCAAGGTATCGTTGGCCGGCTGCTCGGGAAGACCACCAGAAGGAGAGATCGATCCAGGAAGCTGAGCAGCAGCAGTGCTGGTACTCGAATGGGTAGCTGTGCCCGTGCTCAGTGACGTAGTAGTTGTGGGCTCAACCACGAGAATGCTTGACGGCAGGTAGTTGTCAGAATCGGAGGTGGTCGTGGTCGGTTTGGGGGCGACAGTCGTCTCAGCGGCCGAGGTGGTCGTCGTGGTGGGTTGTGCGATAGGCGTGGGCGTTTCCTTGCTGGTAGTGGACGGGGCATAGGAAGGCGTCGCAGATACCAGACCCGAGGACTCCTTGGTGGAAGTGATCAAAGGAATCGAAGAGGCAGGGCCAGAAATGGAGGTAAACTTGGATGCAGAGCTGGTGCCAATGGCAGAGCCTGAAACGGATCCAGAAGCAGATCCCGACACAGATCCAGATGCAGAGCCAGGAGCCGATGTAGGAATAACACCTGCAGATCCCGAAACGGATCCAGACGCCGACGTAGGGAACAGTCCTGCAGATCCAGATACAGACCCAGACACCGATGTAGGAATAACGCCCGCAGATCCAGAGGCGGATCCCGAAGCCAATGAAGATGCTGATTCTGAAGTGGTTCCAAAAAGACCCGTCGAGGCAGATCCTGAGACGGAAGCAGAAGCAGATTCAGTCGAAGTGGGCATGATGACAATGCCACCGCTGATGATCGGAGTCGAGGCTCCCGCTGAGGAGCTCTGGGTTCCGCTGGAAGCTCCGGGGATAAGAGCCGTGGAAGTGGCCGAGATACCCAGACTAATGGCCGAAGGTTCCAAGGAAGCGCCTGAGGATGTGCCAAGTAGGGCAGAAACAATATTGACCGATCCAGAAGATGAGGCAGGCGTAACCACAGGAACACTAACGGAGATGGTAGGGAGGCTCAGAGGGAAAGCACTGGAGTCGGCAGACTCGCTTGCACTCTTGCTAGTAGCAGAGGCAGATCCGCTGGAAGTGGTGGTAGTAGGGAAGAGGTCCGAGAGGAAGCCGAGGACACCTCCTGATGATGAGGGGGTGGAAGAAGAAGAGGTCACATCTTCAGATGCAGACGGGATGAGGCTCGAGGATGCTGACCCAGTAGTCTGAGAGGCTGCGCCTGATGAGGTGGCCTGAACAGATGTAACCTGACTCGAGGAGCTCTGGGTTGAAGACTCGGACTTCGAAGTAGACTCAGCCAGAGGGACCTGAGCGGAAGAACTCTGGGCAGATGCGCTCTGGCTAGTGATAAGTTGACTCGAAGTCTCTGCCTTCGAGCTAGAAGTGGCAGATTCCGATTGCGAAGCCTCGGCCGAAGACTCCGTAGTGGAAGCAGGGGTCGAGGATGCTGGGCTGGAAGAGCTCTGAGTGGTGGAATCCTTAGCCGTAGAGCTCTCCGAAGTCGTCGAGCTATCGCTTGTAGAACTCTTGCTCGAGGTGACATCTACAATGACGCCAGCAGAGCTTGAAGCGGGAGCGGGGGTTGCAGAGCTGGACTCGGCTGGCGATGCGGTAGGGCTGGCCGTGGAGGTTGCGCTGGTGCTGGTAGAGGACCCCAAGATACTTGAAATGAAGCTCTCCCAGGAGTCAGCCAACGAACTCTGGCTAGATGTAGTAGCTGCTGCTGCTGCCGCTGCGGCCGACGAAGAAGCTGTCTCTGCCGTCGTTGCTGCTGCTGACGAAGAAGCTGCCTCTGGTTTCGCTGACGATTCAGACGCGGAAGTGTGTTTCTCGGATTCGGATGTAGATTTCTGCTTTTCCGAGTCACTGGTAGTTGAATCCTTGTCCGATGTAGTCGCGCTCGCCGTCGAAGTAGCAGCAGCTGCCGCCGGGGTACTCTCTGCACGCTCAAGGGTGGAGCTAGTTGTCGTTGAAGCACCGGGAACGTTGGGTGCCGTGCCCACAATGGTATGCGTAACACCATTGGCGTCCACGGAAATGGTTACAGGAACAACGATAACAGCAGGTGAAGGGTCAACGATCGGGCTTGTTTGTTCATTGTCCGAAGTCGGCGCTGAATCATGCGTACTCGTTTCGGACCTGGTTGTCAACTCGACAGGCGTAACGGGCTGGGAGGAACCAGGAACGGCGGAGCTAACCTCACGCGCTCCCAAGTCCCGGATCTGTCCTGCCTCCCGGGCAGCGACGAGCTCGAGGCCGCCCAAGGACAGGAACGCGGCCAACAATGAAGTCGTGGGCGCGATCATATTGATTCGAATGGTTGGGTAACAATAGCAGGCGATAAAGAGTGGTCAGGTGGTCGAAAAGACCGTAACAATGCTGAAATGAATGGACAGAGCGAAGGCTCAGATGGGAACCTCCAAAACCAAATATCCCTAGGCACGGAGTATTCAAACGTCAAGGATCAAAGCCAGTCGTTAAGATTGCTGATGCATGGGGTCGGTGGTTGGAAATTCGAATAGTCTAACCCCCGGGCTATATAGATGTCCTATTCCCGGCGTTTTCGTATATCCACCTCTCCACGATTTGAACCACTTGAAGCGAACCTATCTCAATCGAAGGATGGCGCGAGCGATGGCGATATCCCGAATCGGTCGACGGCTGGGGATGCGATGACAACGGTCGGTAAGCTTCCTGGTATATTGAGTCGAACAAACAACCAGAAAGTTTGCAGATATCACAAAACTATATCACCAAAAAAATCTCCGAATCAAAAGTATCGAAAGCGACAAGCTCTAATAGTGCACTGACAGCTGACGGATGGATGTGCGCGCACCAACGGCGGGAGTTCGGTATAAACAAAGCGGGTTCAAAGAGCGGCAGGGGGTGTGGTCGACGAGAAACCAACAGTAACCCCTCACGAAAAACTACCAGCAAACAAAACAATAACGAATGTAGAGGCGGTAAGGAGCGAGCGACAAGATCTAAGAAAGGGATGTTAAGTGAGAAAAACGGCCGTGGAGAGGGAGGGAGGAGGTGGAGGTGGTAATGGTAGTGGAGGAGGGGGGTGGGTTGTTATGGTGAACGGCGGTTGGAGGTGGTGGTAGTACCTGAAGAGGGCGCGCGACCGTGGGAGGGGGATGGGATGCAAGGAGAGAAAGGCTGAGGATGAATTGGCAAGTCCCAACGGCTCGTTGACGTAGAAAAGGTGTTCGCAGGTGGGCTACGTCAACGAAGCACCGGCGCTGGCGAAGCAAAAACGGGGCGAAGAGGGGGGGAAAGAGAGAGGAAGAGAGAGGAGGAAGAGGGAAAGGATGATAGTAAAGAATGAAAAGAAAGATAGGCGATGCAAAGTGAAGAAGCAGAAGAATAATAATAATAATACCAAAGGAAGGACGGGAAAAATCAAAATCAAAAAAATGGTGGTAGTAATTAGGAACAGTAATAATAACAACAGCACTAAAATGAATGAAAGGAGAGTGAGAGGGAAGGGGAGATTACTTCTGGCTGGCGGTTTGGATTAGTTTGGCTTAGTTGGTTTGCCGGTCCGTGTCATCGCCTTTTTTTGGTAGATTTGATTATTTTGGGGCCCGGCTTTTACTTTTTGACTTTACTTTACTTTACTTAGCTCTTACCACCACCACTTGGATTTCCGGGTTGGGCTGTGGGAGTTGTGGTTTGGTACCACTGGAAAAAAGGGGGGGGAGGAGGGAAGGAAGGGAAAAAGGCACGGCAGGGGAAAAACGAGGCACACCAAAGCAGAGGGGGGAAAAGGCAGGAAGCACGCGGGAAAAGCAAAGGAAAAGGCCGTGGCTACAATGCCAACCACCCCATGACAAGGCCATAAACTACACGCACCGGGTAGAGGTGGGCCCCCTTCCACTTTGTCCCACCTCTTGCCGTACGGTATTGTACCTTGGTTGCCGTATCTTCACCTCGCATCCTCATTAGCCCAATTGCACATTTGCTCACTCACTGACGACAAATGCCCGCAACAACCTGGGGTTGAGCATGTTCTAGGTCTTTGCTATTTGATACTGGAGTTGCTTTCGTTGCTGTCGTTGCGTGTCACCGGTTCTGGACTCTCTGCCTACACCTCATGCACTACAAGTCATTACATCCCGGCTAATATGTATGAGTGTATTTACTAATGGCCGAATGAATGAATGGATAGTGTGAACGGACAGTATGTGCGTGTCTAGCCGGAGGAACGTCCCAATGGAGAAGGCATGTACGCATGCCGTCCTGGTCGAACCCCCCATCAAAAGGTACACTAGATGCCAAACGATCAATAGTATACGGAGAAGAGAGCTTATTTGGGTACTGACCATGGCCGCGCTCCGTCTATAGTGCAGTATCTATCTACAACGGCGCACATCAAGACCAACTCCGAGCTCGCTACCGCTGGAACTATTGAGAACACCCTCACCCCGAGTGGTTCAGGCCATAGATCGCATGATATGCAGTGGACAGAACTCTTCTTTGGGGAGTCTAGACGTTGAAAGAGGGGTAGCATGGTGTATTTCGATCGACATACTAGGGTCTCGTCAACCGAACAGATATGGAGCACAAGGTGTCAATCAGGTATCTCCTCTTCACAGATCGGGAACTCCTCCGCGCACTTTGTGTGCAGTGTAAAGCAGAACATGGCAGGGTATACTGTAGGCTGCGGGCTGTCATATGCCCTGGCAGTTTGCTCGAGGCTGGGTGGATGCCGCAGCATGCAGACGGTGCATAGAATCAAAAAGACGACACAGCCCGGCAGTTGCACTACCTCACGGAGCCAGAGAACGATTGGTGGCGATGTTGACAAAGTGTCCAATCATTCCGGGATGTCGCAGGGGAATGGTAAGGAAATTAACCCATCAAAGTCGGCTCGTATGGGGAGATAATGATCGCGGTCTAAGGAATGGGGAAGATTGATGCTTAAACTTGAAGTGGGATCCTCAAAATTCAGGCATGTCACGGAGGATTCACGGATACATACTTTACTTTACTTTACTCACACACTGGACAGGTAACACAGCGTAAAGTGGCCGGTGAGAGTGGCCAGGGACAATTGCCGATCAGCAGTGGTACGGCGCGCATCGTAATTCCCGCCTCGCACGCCAGCCTCTTCTGCAAAGGGCATAATTCCGTCAAGGTTCGGACCACCACAAGGCCTAGACTGACGGCGTCGTTTTAGTGTGGGTGGTTCCTGGATGGATGTGGGGATAGCCCCGGTGCGTGGTGATACGAGCAACACATGTGCTGCAGCCTGCTCGACAGGCTGGCAACTGAGCAAAAACAACTCCAGGCAAGGATCATCAATAGAGAAAGAGAGAGAAAATCGCATGGCTTGGTTCGGTTCGAAAAGGCGAGCAAAAGGGATTTTTTTTTTCGTAACTTGGATCGGAGGAATGTGATAAGCATGGGGTTATGCACCTGCCAGCCAAGATAATGCGGTCGGGTGCATTTCCTCCTCCTCCTTGAGAAGGAAAGCCGTGTTTCTTTCCTCTCTGCCTAACATTACAACCACCAGCAAAGAAAATAAAATCCAAGAAAATAAAATAAAAAAGTTAGATTATTGATGCCCCTTCCCCTCCCGCCCGCCGGGTTGAGTCAGTCACAATGATGGCCATCCACCCCCGGCTGTCTCACCATCCCTTCTTAACCCCAAAGCATCCAATACCATCCGTGCCTCGTACGGAGCCACTACGTATGCGCACCCGTCCCATCCATTCTACCGGTATGCAACAGGCCTTACTATTCAAGATGAGATACCTGTCAAGCTCCATGACATGGGTATGTGGTGTGCTAATATGCTGGTAGCACTGCATCTTCCAAAATTCTATCTAGTTGCTGCCTTCAAGACAATTCTCTTCCATTCAGAAGCTAGTGGCGGACACTATTGACCTCAGGTCCTTTCGAGAACGTGCTCCATTCCGTTAGTCCTGGGCTAATTTCTTAGCCTACTCACGAAGGATGGGAGGGGGGCCTGCTCGACACTCAGACTCCAGCAAGACCCAGCCCCGGTTAACGCTGGGCGAGGAAGACGATGGAAGGCATGTTCATGTCTTACACCACGTGCATGCCCAGCGGCGCCAACCGTCACAAGCAGGGAAAATAAGAGTTGTACGTACTATCTTCTTCTTCTAACCCGCCAGTCGGTGCTGGTGCTTTTTGACAGCGCGGCAATCATCGATCTTTTTCTCCCTGACATGATTGGAATGTCAGAAATGCAGGAGAGTCGCTCACAGCCCCTGCTGGGGGGCCGCCGTCAGGGCTGAAACAATGGCTCTTTCCATCCCTTCGGTCTCAGAATTGCCACGAACAGAGTCGTACAAAATTCCACAGATCGCGTATTGGCTGAGACTCTTGGTACCCAAGGCCAGCACAGTCAGAAAGGATTTGCAGGAGCGCCCCATGGTCATTGCTTCTTCGAGTGTTGGATCTCACGAAGAGCATGGCCTAGGGTGATGTGCGAATCTAGAAGGTTGACGGTCAGAACTGCTTCAGCAGCATATGCAGATCGGGAAAGTCAAAGCTTCGATAAGACCCAAATCCAGATGGGTTCCTCTGTAATACTTAGGAGTTGGATCGTCGTTCGCCTGAGTTGAGTAGAGACAGTGGACATTTGGTGATACTACTAAGAAAGCTAGATGAGTCGTAGCACCCACGGAACTCCGTCCAGCAGTGGCACCATTGTTCGCGTTGCTATTTTAATCTTGTAGGCTGAGTCCATTCAAAGAGCGTCTTCGAGTCTAAGCCTTGGACGGACGTAAGACCACACACTGACCATTTTCACTAGGCCATTGTATCTTGAGGACCTTTACCGCAAGGCCCATCACACATATCTCTATCCTGATACCATTATATCATATGCTAAATGCGACCAGTTCCTGGGACGGGGGATAAGACCCTGAATCTAATGAACCATGGACAAAAGTTGCCAACGATCCAAGGACTGGGAAATTACTTCAAACAGGCACTAAGCCTGTTCCTGACTGCTGCCCCACCGTGGCCCTTGGTTCCATTGGTTGGTGGTCGGTTCTTGGCGCGTGCATTGCCCCCATGCGGACTAGCCTCGCCCATTTTGAGGCCAGCGATTCCCTCCATCTCCAGCAGATCCAATTCTGGAGACAGTCACGATGTTCGGATCAGAGCCTGAAAAAAGGTCGATCAGTTCAGTAGTTGCAGTGGACTATCCCTGAACTGTTCCAACTGCAAATCCTGATAATTCAGCTTCCTACCAGCTTATACGAAAGGCCACTCTGAGATGGAGAACTATGCTAATAATAGCGGATCAGTTCTTCTTATTTGACCCGTGACCCGTTGGAGCTGAATCTGTGCTTTTACCGACCCAGCCGATCTGAGACACAATGGTTCGCTTAGCTACGATAGAGGATCCAGCATAGAGCACGGAGGACGGAGTAAATAGCACGAATGATCTTCTCGCATCAGCCATCTGAGCTGCATCCGACAGCCGGTGTCGCATTAGACACAACTAAGTCCAGCTGCCGCTCGAATCCATGCATAAAGTTACCGTTGGCATTCCGATTCCTAACATTAGAAATCGGGCTTGTCGACGCATAGGCTATTCATACCAGGCTCGCCGGTCTATCCGTTGTCTTCAGCCAAGATGCAGAGTATATGCACATAAGCAATGTTTGTCTGCATTTGTCCAGTTATGTACTCGCATAGCATCACATTCATATCCAGAAATCTGCATCATTGCTTGCTGCTCACAGACGAGACCCTCGACTTGGCACACTGCTCACCACCCCAGCACACTCAATCTCCACATCAGTCCCCATTGGCAATGTCTTGACCGCAACGCATGTACGAGCCTAGGTTCGTCAGTAAGTATGTGACTCTGCCTAGGGGCAATCAGGCGGAACGCACCGGCTTCGGATCCGCGAAAAAGGAACTATAGACTTCATTGACAGCGGCAAAGTCATTCATATCAGCCAGGAATATGTTGACTTTCACGGCATCCTGGAGACTAGAGCCGCCTGCTTCAAGGACGGCACTCAGGTTGTTGAGGATTTGTTTCTGGACCTCGTTAGCTGAGTAGCTTTAGGCCCACCCTTGGTCAGGGATATTTATTTGGGTTATGTAGGAATGAATAATGTACCGTTCTTTCTTGGATTGATCCCTCAACCATCTTGCCTGTAGCAGGGTTCACGCCCACCTGCCCAGAGCAGTAGACCATGTCGCCAACGACGATGCCCTGGGAGAGGAATGGCGGTGGGAGAGGGGCCTTTTGGGTGCGGATGGGGATTCTGGTTGCTTTGGACATCGTGAATATTTTAGATGCTATAGTTTCCTCTTTGTTGCAGTTGATATAACCTATATTGTTTCCTCGAAAGGCAGTAGCGCTTCGGAATATATACCTGGGGAAGGGCGAAGGTTGATGATAAGCGGGGAAGTTGGAGGAGTCGCGCTTATCATGAGTTGTGACCCACCGAGATGTGACTAAGAATGCTGGCGATAATGAGGAGATCATGCACACCACAGAGGTGATACCCTAGAACAACTGCAGAAGGTTTAGGTGTAGACTCTTCAAGTTTGTGATACTACAACATTGATACGTATTAAGTCACTTTAGAGTTGTTGGTGGATCTGGCAGCTAGTACCAACTGGTTAGACCAACTGATAACCGTGGCACAACTATATATGTTCCTCACGACCGCCAATGTTGCTCTCTGGGAACAACACCACAACCCTATATTTTGTGCTCCAAAGCACATCACACAAGAACCATTTAGCTCGACAGAACCTCACCAATATATTTCACTTCTGTAAATCTAACACAATGACACTCACACCATCTCCTCCAGCTGCATTTCAACATCACATTCACAGCTTTCAGGCAACGCAACCACGAACTTCCTCATCTTCAAACATCTTAAACGGATCAGTCTCCGCCAGATGTCTCCGCATTAGCAGATATCACAAACGGTGCACGCAGTGCACGCAGATTCACTCTCCCAACACAAGATGGCCTTTGCCACGACGACTGAACACGTCCACAACTCATCTTTTGAATGCACTCTGTGCTACAGGATGCAGACACGTCCCTATCCTTCTTCCCATCCTCATTTTCCTTCTATGCATTCGTGAACCACCGCAATCATGGATCCCCGGGGGATGCGGAAGAAGGTGGCCGAAGCAACGGCGCGTCTCAGGCTCTCCAAAGCCAGGAGGGACCTCGCGAAGCTGAAAGCTGCGAAAAAGATGATTGAAGAGGAACGAGCAGAAGCAGCTGCAGAAGAAAGAGCTGCCGCGGAACTTGACAATACTGAATACATCAGATGGCCAGCCTTCAGAGTTATGGAAACGATCCCCGAGATCTCTGAGACAAAGTCCGTTGATATCCAAGTCCACGGCATGAAAGCCAGGGTTTATCTAAGCCGTCCTGACGAAGATATCGTGCCTCTGCGATACCTCAAGAGAGCAGACAAAGATAGTGAGTCTATATACCCATCCAAGCGCATATAACACTATCCATATCATGGCACATAGGTAAACGAACTCAGAAGGAGCAAAGCTAACTCAATACTAGAGATCGTCCACCGCGCTGTCTGGATCTTCCGCAACGCCAGAAATGGACGTCGAGTCAATCAGAATAAATGGCCTACCCTCGAGACCATTTTCTTCGACGTCTTCCGTAACCTCAAGAATTCTCCTCAGTGGGATAAAGGTCTCTTCGAGGACGAGGCAGGCAGTGCCGCTACCTGTCCAACCAACCTTGACTTCAGACAAGCACGTTACAACCAAGACAACGTACTTCATGCTCTCATATCCGAGTTGTTCTTTAACGTGGATGTCATGCACCCGACTTCAAAGGCCATGCTCTGGTTCCACCTTTAGTACGTAACAACATCAGCCCTAACAGACCCTGCACAGCAACAATACACTAACCTCATCATCTCCCATCCAACCAGCCCCAAAGTCATGGGAGAATATCTCGAATATTGGACCGGCTACAAAGAGAAACGTCAAGACGGACCCTGTACCTCCGGCCGCGTCGTCGTTGATTATTACCCCGATGCTATGTACGCACGCACTGTCCTGCCAATGACAACTGTATGGTCTCTCCCTTAACCCTCCTACGCCACCTCCCCAAAAGACAAATCCAACCCACTAACACCCCTACCACAGACCCTCACCGACAACCAACCACTCCACAAAACCCTCTCCCAAAACTTCCAACTCCACCTCGGCCAACTCCTCACCAACCTGCACCACATGCACATCCATCGCCACCACCTCCCCGACCAAGAAGTCTTCCTAATCAACCTCCACGGCAGCAGACTCCACGTTCAACGCGCCATCTTCCCCAGTTCCAAGATCTCACGCATCTACTGCAAAAAGTACAAGCCCGTCGATACTTCCAACACCGAACTGCACACTTTCAGCGCCGGAGACGCCACTCGTCGCTACACCGAGCAAGATCTCGAGCACGATATCGATCAACTCGATTGGCTACACACTCTCAAAGAGGAGAGAAATGAAGCTCCGGACGAAGATGACGCCCCCGTGTTCCGCGTGCTCGCTAGCAAGGAATATGACCTCTGGAAAAAGAGTGACTGGCATGCTGCGTTGAAGTTGTTGGCTGGCCTCAATCGTTATTTGATGGGCGGCCGCGCTAAGTGTGGTGTCATGCAGAATATGTTTGAGAAGTTTCCGCTGGAGGAGGAGTCGCAGCCTGCGGAGTCGTCATCTGCGGCTAGGCGCTGAGGGGGTGAGGGCTGATGGGTGGTGGTGGTGGTTTTGCGCTGCCAGTGCGATAGGCGTTGGGGACGGGACGTGTTCAATCTCTCGTCTTAACTTTTCTTTTCGGTACTCTCTTTCTTCATGGCTTGCACTTTGCTTGGCTTTTGCTTTGCTCTTCGTTGGGCCTTTGCTTGCACTTGGCTTGCACCTTGGCTTTGCTTAGATTTGACTTTGCTTTGCCCTTGCTTGCACCTTGCTTTGCATTCACCTTTGCATTTGCTTAGCCTTTGCTCGCACGTTGCCTAGCCTTTGCTTTGTTTTCACTTTGTCTTTGCTAGCTCTTTGTCTTCGTTTTGCTTTCTCGTCTTTTGCTCATACCAAATTGATGTACTCATAGCATAGCGGGAAGATGGCGTTAATGGAGCAGATAGCGTAGCCTAATTATCAATGGAAAATGTGACTCTAGTTACAGAGAGGAGACGCACTACATATTACATACTCGTTATGGTCATGGCAAAAATCAGCTCGAATAGTTATACAGAATTGTGCGAAGACATCCAAATTTAGTCTCCATGACGCCGCTCAGACTCAAAAGCCGTGAAAGCATCAATACCCCGTCCATCCTGTCCTCCCGTGCGGAAGTATTCGACAACAACACCTATGGCGTAGCATGTTCCTGCGGTAGCTACGCCACTGAACAGCATCCTGCGTAGAGCCTGGCCAGCTCTTGACTGTCGTTTCGAAGAAGAGCCTTTAGCCTGTGAAGTCTCGTCTGGAAATTTGGTCTGATGATCAGGAGCTTGGCTGGAGAAATGCTCCTGCGGTAGCTGAGTAGGTGATGTAGATTGTTTCAAAGGTTCGTCGTTTTGACCGTCGGACCTAGCTTCAATTTTGCCGGCTGCTTTGGAATGGAGAGCGGCACTGTCGTGCACGGAACTGCTGGACTTTTTGAAAACAAGGATATCCCCACCACCGGAAACAATTTCGTAACCATCGGTACGCATTCTTGCAAAATGGGGTAGGAACTTGGCAGGGGCATTCAGGCGACCTAGAATTTCTGCCGGGTGGGTTGTCTCGTCTGAAGCCTGGAAAGACGAGCTCGTCTCCGCCTCGTTTACTTGAAGGGTCGAGGGATCATATGCAAGGACTCTATAGGTTTCACTTGACGGGCTGCCAGCGAGCGGCTGCTCAATGGTAGTAGTTCGATCGAAGTCCTTGGTAGCTTCCTGCTTTCCAGACTGGAGTACCTGTGAAGCTTCCCGACTTTCTGCAGTTCGTTGATTGGGCTGTACACCAACGTCTGATTTCTCTGGCATGATGGCCTCGTCAGATGCGCCGAAAGTCTCATGCTTTTGAAACTTGCTTCGAACGCTCTGGGCGTCAATGTCACCAGCGGGATCGACAAATGAATCGAACCTATCGTCGAGAGATTGACGGATCTGCTTCTCAATCTCAGGGTCAATACTAGGCTTAGCCAAGTATTGTGAACGAATATCACTGGCATTCAGGATGTCTAAATCCTCCTCCCTCTCTGCTTGCACCCTGTCTTGTTCGTGTGCTGTACTTAGAGGACTTTCAGGCGCCTCTAGAGGTCTCATCGAAGCCTCATTGCTTGGTTGATCTCCAAACGAACGACTGTTGACTGGCGCTTCTAGGTGATCATAGGTGACGCGTCCACCGCTCATTGTGAGATCCTGAAGCTTAGGTTGATCGGCCATGATCGCTTCTGAGAGACTGCTAAGTTTCTCAGACACATCTCTCTGGTCTTTCATAGTATCATTTGATGGCTCCAAAGCTTTGTAGCGAGCTTCTGTTGGTAACTCCGGTTTCTGCACCTCAGGAGGTTGGAAGGGCTCATCCGCGACTGGCGCCACCTCAACACGTTGTTGCGATGTTCCTTCTGCCCTATCGTTTCCTGATTCTGTTGCCGGCCTAGGCTCTGAAATTGTTCGTTCAAATGGGGATAGATAGCCGGTAGGCCCAGAATGAGGCTTCTGGGCCCCGGCCGATGTATCAATGTCGTTCCCGCGAGAATTCTTTGCTGTGGCCACCGGCTGCTCAGTATCCTTGGGTATCATGCGGCCACTAACAGGGTCGAATTCATAGTCTGGTCGACCCGTCTCTGATACAGTCTCGTCTGAAGATGGGACCCTACCACTCACGTCTGATTGTGGCTTCTTGGGCGATTCCGAAGAGTCCTTCGAGACTGCAGTAGTGGCCTTTGGGCGTGCTGTTGTATCCATGGTGCTTTCCGACTTGTCAAGACCTAGGAAAGAACGACAAATGGAGGTAAAGGCATTATCAAGCTTCTCGAAGGAGCTAAATGGCTGCAACCTTCTTCCAAATAATGCTGCGTAGGGATCCTTATCAATCTCCCTCTTGATCTGGTTCATTCTCTCCTTGATGCGGGACCTTTCGGCCTCCCAAAAGTCACCCTTGATACCATTTCGCTTGTAAAATTGAAAAGACTTTTCTCGATCATAGCCCGGTCCGTAACCTCGGAACCCCCATGGATTCTGACTTTCGTACACGTTCGCTTTCCGCGGACGTGCGGGCTTCTCACGAAGCTTCGAAAGACAGTATCGTCTGTGCTTATCTATCTGCTTCTCCAAATACTCGTAGTTTATCCTCTCGCCCGGACCGCGCCATATGTGACGGCGCTGGCAGGAGGACTTCAGATGTTGAGATGGCGCGAAGAGTATGGCTTGGGGATAAGCTCTGGCCAGGGCCGTGGAACGTCTGACGGCCCTGATATTTGCAACTGCGGTTGTATATATCATAGTTGAGGCTCGCAAGGACTCTGTGTTTGAAGTATATAAGCTAGAATAGAAGGACGCTAAGCAAGGAGTGATGAAGCTCTTCGACCACGACGTCAGACCGGATTCGGACGGCCACTGAGCTGTCTTCGGTTACATCACAGGGGACGATTAGGGGTCAGGAGGGCCGCTACAAGGACAGTAACCACAAAGTAGAAACTTTTATCTGAGAGATAGCTAATCAGTTTATTGGAAAGAGAGCTAGAATACTGATGAACGAAGGATGAGAGTGACTTGGAAGTGCAAGGGAGGGAGAGAGTTGGCAGCTGATAAGGCGGAGAGAGCTCCGATAAGCCAATCACGGGGCAAACGCGGGGTTGTCGGTCTAGAACTATGCCTCAGGCAGAAACTCAAAGTAGAAGTTGCTCGCTCAGAATCATCATATGTGGGATTCTTAATCAAAATTCCCGTCATCTCTATATGTCATGGTTGTCTATGCTAACTTTTGCAAGTCCTAGATCATCCAATTCCTGCAGGTCTGGGTCAGACGCAATATAATTGAACCAGAACCGGAGCCCCTCAATTCCCTGTTCTCTGCAAAGGACTCCCTTGTCCTCTGCCATTTCCAACTCCTCCGCTGCAACGCCCACACTCCATTTGAATCGCTGTGCCGCCTCCTGTGCGGTCACGGCACGTCCAAACAGACGCCAGTCCCAGGCTACCGGCTCCGTGGGTGGCACTTGACGGAGCTCTGCCATCCAGTCTAGCAGCTGCCGAAGGGTCTTCTCATCAGTCCAGTCGTATCGTTGCACAACAAGCAGTCCACTCCTGAATCGACGCAGACGGACTGGCAACTTCAGTTTCTCCCATAGCTCCGCAGCCTTCTGAAAGTCCGAAGGACTGACGAGCTCGACCCCGTTTCGGGACCGGTTGAAGATTGCCCACAAGTCGATAAGACTGATAATCCCGCCTTCTTTCTGTAAGATGCCCTTACGATCGTCGGTTAGATACTCTGCTAGATTTCGTGACAGTTCCGACAGATATAGGCTCTCTGCCCCGGACCCGAGCATATCTTTCGTTGTCACCATACCCAACGCCGCCGCTGATTCCGAAAGGACGGCGCTAGTTTCAGCAGAGCTCTCGTCACTAGCCATCCCAGACTCGCGGGCTAGCGTCTCAGCAAGCGCAACAATATGTTTCGCCGATGCCATAAGCGCTTCGAGATCCTCGAAAGCATTGCCAATGACGAGCTCATTGTTCTTACGAGCCTCAAGCCCTCGTCGCTCAAGCCCCGCAATGCCAACTCCCGGTGAGCGAGGCTGTGATGCTCCAGGGCCGTTCGCTAATGCAGGCACGGCTAAACCTTGAGCTTCGAGGCTTGACTGCGATGGTTGTTGTGGCACAGGCGGAGCATTGTAAAGAAGCCATTTCCGCTGGATCAAGGCGCCCTTCAACCTTTCAAGAAATATCTTTTCGCCACCTCCACGGAATGATAATTTCATGCAATCTTTGATTTGCTTGCTCTTTATACTGCCCTGATCAAAAACAGGGGCCGGGGATTCCGCACGGTAGTGATCGCCATTGGTGACCTTGAGGATATTTGCAGAGACCAAGGAAGCTCCACACATTTCACATTCAATGAGAGACGGATGGTTGACGAATGTGCAGCGAGGACATGACACTTGGGCACCATTTTGTGGAATCGTTAGGTTCTTGGGGCCATTATTCCCAAGTGAGGACTCTTGCCCAGGTTGAGAGATGGGTGGCGTCGCAACAGTACTCTCGCGACTTGTTGCAGCAGTGATTGCAGCCTTAAGGATAGTCGCAAAAGGGGGTTTGATACCACATGCCAGGCAAGGAGGTATCGGCGTGGACGCGGTAGCGGTGGACGGGTCGAAATTGGAGGGCACGGGATTGGAAAAGGTGCATATAGGGCATACCCATGTCGCATTCACGGGTGGAGGAAGCCCCGCACTAGGATGAGACACGGACTTTGGGGTCAGGGGCGACTGCGATCGAGAGGGACTTGCGCCAGCGCTTTTCGACCGGTCAATGTTCTTCAGCGGTTTAGGGTATAGCGTAATCTTTGGAGAGGACTTCCAGAAGCTTGCCTATGATACATTAGATTTCAGGCCAGTTTGCATGATTGAACCAGCACGTACTTGGTACTCTGTTCTATCAATATCCTTGAGGTCAATGCCAACTGAGTATTTCCGCGGCTCATCAACTGCTACATAACAGACACGATGCGAGGTCAAATAGGCATGGCCATTCTGATAATTGGGGATTTTATATTTTCTGATCATGGAAGAGACATTAACAGTCAGCAATTGAGAAGATATATACTGTGTCACTAAGGCTCGGTTCCAGAAGAAGTGAAATAGACCCAAGCATGGAGACCGCCGATGCAGCAGGTGAAGTAACAACCGGCTACTCACCCTTCGTACAACCCCACCGCATCCTGGACAAAGAGTAAGGTCTCGTCGGGCAACAGCGAGGGGCGAAGCGCAGTTGTCAGATCCAAAGGCTTGAAGAACATCTAGTAAGATCAAGCAGCATCTCTTCACGATTGAAAGGGTGAAGAGGGGCAGAGTATACGAAAGCGAGATGCCTTGGCGCTGGTTGTATTGCTCGTTATCAGTCAGATCGGCGTGCTGATGTAATTTGTCTATATTGGGTAGGCGGTATCTTGTCTCCGTGCCAAGACGAAATCTCCGCCACCGAGACAAGTCAAGTGGGATCCAGCGTCACTAAGCGAGTCTCCCTCTCTCTCTCCGCTCATCATCCTTATTCACTCACCCCGAAGCCTGGAGAACATACCCCTGTGGATAACTTACATATCATCTTGCCCCTTGTCTCGTTAGAAACAGACCGGCCGACCTTTATCTTCTCTTACATTCAGTGATACCTACTCGGCTCTGTTGGTGTAGGAATATGTTCTGACTGGCTCGAATCAAATCATCCGTAGTTAATACCTCTCTTTTCTGATTATCATCACTCTTCGCATTTCTTTATTGTCCCTTTTTGCACTGGCCCCTAAAATAGATCCTCTTTTCTTCATTCATCATGAGCTCCGGCATCCCACCATGGCGTGTTGCGGCTTCAGCCACCGCTACCACCTCAATTCACTCTGGTCATGGTATGCTTCTCTTCCCGCCCGTGATATTTGTTCAGACTTGACTAACGTGGCAGCAGTGGCCCCAGCTTATATCCCAGTGCAAGCACGCCGTAGTATCGCGCCCACAAAAGCCACCAACCCTGTTCCTTCTTCTACACCCCCGACGACGTCTGCCGATGCCGCCACCCGCAAAAAAGTAGAATTTCCAGAAGCCGTCCGCAAATATGTGCAACGCAGCTTTGCGCCCGAAAACCGCCTTCCCACGGTCGACCGGAGTGAGATGGAGGCGAAACTCAAGTCGGTCATCACGGAGGCAGCAGAGGGTAATATGCTCGATAAGATCGACTGGGAAACCCTGCCTCTGCCGCAGGTCATGGTTCAAAACGACCGCAACATGGTGCTCGCCAGCCCAGGTGTCTCGACTTGGGCCACATTTGGGACACATTCGCCGAAGAAGTCCAGCACTCCATTGGTTGACCTATCGAAGAAGAGGAAATCGGTGGAGTACCACGGAGACGCGAGCAGCTGTCCACCATGGAGACAAACTAACAACCAGAATGCCTTTGAAGACCGAGTCACTTATCCTTCCACAGACAAGCGGCAGAAGATGGACAGTAAGAACCCAAGTAAGTCAAAAGCTAATCTGGAGATGCGGAGGAAACGTTTCGAGGACGCACAAGGACGACATGGATCTTCACCCTCTTCCCGCGGTGCATCACCCACCCCCAATGCAAACCAAGGCCCTGTTGTCGGAAGGTGCCAGGAGCTCGAGAAGAATTACTTCCGCCTGACTTCTGCACCGAATCCGGATACCGTTCGTCCCTTGCCGGTCTTGATGAAAACATTAGACCTACTGAAGAAGAAATGGAAAAAGGACAACAACTATGGCTATATCTGTGATCAGTTCAAATCCCTCCGTCAAGATTTGACTGTACAGCATATCAGGAACGAATTCACTGTCAGCGTCTATGAAATCCATGCCCGAATTGCCCTAGAGAAAGGTGACCTTGGTGAGTATAATCAGTGCCAGACTCAACTACGAGCGTTGTATGCACAGCAACTTGGCGGTCATCCTACGGAGTTCAAGGCCTATCGTATCCTCTATTTCATCCATACCCGCAACTGGACGGCCATGAACGATGCCTTGGCCGATCTAACTGCAGCAGACAAACGGGATCTTGCTGTGAAACATGCGTTGGATGTCCGTTCCGCTCTTGCTCTTGGGAACTATCACCGTTTCTTCCAGCTTTATCTCGACACCCCGAATATGGGGGCTTATCTAATGGATATGTTCGTGGATCGTGAGCGACTTTCTGCACTTGCAGCAATTTGTAAAGCGTAAGTTTCTGTTCTGATTCTACGTGTGACGGCCACTGACCTTGATAATACAGGTACAAACCTGATGTAAACATCCGTTTCATTACTGAAGAACTTGGTTTCGAGTCCGACGAGCAGAGCGCCCGCTTCATTTTGGACCATACTTCGGAGGACCTCCTCCAAGAGAAAGATGGCGTGGTGAGACTGCTTACGGGTGGCAGGGCCGGCCAACTGTTCGAAGGAGCCAAGGCCGAGGCCCACCGAATTGTCGATATCAAGGGACAGATCTAAGTTCCGTATCTCTCGATTTTACTTATTTTTTCTTTTCCTCCTTGCAACCTGCGGTTTCACTTTCACCTTCCGACACCCCTTTCACCATTCTGGATACTTCTAGCACACCCCAGCTTTCCCCTATTCTGTTCGTTTCTTCAGGGCGCTTGGAGTTCTGTTCGTTTTATTTCCTTGCTTCCGGCATTAGAGGCGTCCTGCATTAACCGCTTACGATCTGAGTACATATACCCATTTTGACTTGAGGAGGATTGGTAGTGCACAGAGAAAAAAAAGTCGATGGATGGAAGGCAGAAGTGGGTATAAGGGAAGGCGTCTGACGTTTGTTTGATAACATTTCGGTAGCGCAGCTGTCAATACAATGATCATTGTCAATTCTAAAACACGAAAAGTATGGGCAGCAGCCCCATTGTACCCACCACGGCGTCAACTGATACAATCTGCCTACTTTGTAGTATATTAAAACGGTCATCATCATCCTGCCCACTGCGCCAATTTCAACCCCCTCTTGAACCTTACCACCCACCCTCAAACCAACAAAATTCCCCCCCCCCTTAAACATCAGACACATCCATTCACCCCAACATTATGTATCCAACAGGACATACAAAGTACTCACCACCACAATCGACCCACAAATGAGGGGTACGTCAAAAACAGTCAATAAGCAGTTACATAGATACCCCGCACCTCATCAACGCAAGCGAGATGAGATCAAAGTTACATGAAGGAGGAAGTAAGTCGACCGTTAGAGGAAGATCTACAGTGATAAGTCAACAATGATCTATGTATGTATGTATCTATCTATCCTCGTACATGATACATGACACTATACTATACCCAGCTAGTTAGTAGTTAATCCACTAAATCTGACGAGTCGATCTCTCCCACTCCTAAGTAGATTGGTAGTAGATAGTCCTCCCTCCCCCCACCGGTCTAGACCCGTACTTTTGGGCCGTTTCATAAAGTACTCAGTACTTACTGTGGTAAGTGAATGAGTGAGTGACCATGCATATACTTTCCGAATCAAGTAGGTAAGTAGATAAAACCGTTAGTATCCGATGGTGGCAAAAACCTGAAAAGACGAGACGAGACGGAAATCAAACCCGATGATCAGCTGTAGATCGATTTCGATCATCGCGAGGTAGATAACTCCTGGGGATAAGTTACTATGTACTCCATACATTAGTTATCTTACTACAATCGGAGGGGAAAGGAAGGAGAGGGGATGGAAGAGTGCATATGACATCTGGAGAATGATATATCAGATTTGCAGGATGATATGATATGGGGAGCATCTGCACGAGGCTGAAGATGGTATATGGTATAGATGCTGTTTGGATTCGTCAGATGTGGGTTGTTTCAGTGCTTGTTTCATGGCTATAGTATTGAGGGCTGAAACAATATGGTAGTTGGTGCTTTTCACGTGGTGGTAGTGCGGGGTTTACCATAGTATAGTAGTAATGAATGGTTAAAGACATGATTCGCTACGAACACAAAGTAACAGCAGGACTTGATCTATGGATCGTGCTTCACATTAATGGGCTGAAATTACGCAATATCCTGTGGTACTGGCACAAAGTACTACAATCGGCTGTGTGCTTTTTAGCTCAGCTACAAAGTACTTAACTCAGCTGGCTGGTGGGCTCGATGGATGGATGGATCGATTTTACCCACATACATCCAGAGTGGCGAATAATACTAAGTATGATCTGATCAGCTGTGCGCTTATTCGGTCCAGCTATCTAAGTACCTACTAGATACTTTTGTAGGTAGCTAAGCTGCTGCAGTGTGCCTCGACTACTGTATCTAGTTAGTTAGCTACCTTTATCTTCTATCGGCTACTAACGGCAGATGGATAGACTGAAATTCTATTTTGTGGTGTGGCGTTGACTTCAGCTTTCGCTTGTTCCGCGTATCATCTTGTTTTTTTCTTATTTCTTATACTCGCATATACGAGCAATAACCTTATGCGGACGGCGTCTGGAATAAGCCCGGTTAGGGATTTGACTGGGTGCAGTGACTGGGCTGTCTACTACCTGCAAGGGTGGTGTGTCTGTGAATGTGGATGAGGTGCAGGGTGTACAAGGTTTTTGAGAACTGGCTTGGGGGGAATGGAATGGATCTAGATGATTTGTGTAGTAGAGTGATATCTTGCTTGGAGAATCCATGTCATAATCTGCAGCTGGGATATGCTACTACTGTAGGTACTGGAGGAGACGGAGATCGCGTGCATAATATGTCTACTTTTGTAGATACGGAAGTGAATTTTTGAGGCTGGATGCAAAGTACTAGACCTTTTAAAATCTTGCTCGAAAGAGCTCAGTCGTCCCTTACAGCCTCGGTCATATTGGAAAAAGTGCGGATATACCTCTCTTTCTCTCTTTGCCTTGCCAACTAGCATTTGGGTTACAGCATTGTTGGGATCCAAACTAATCCATCTTGAGACGGAACTCCGGGGGATTTCCTTCAGACCTGATCATCCTCCATCTATACTAGATGGAGAAGAGACCCTGTGCCGATCCAAACTGATTGGAATTAGTGTAGGAAATGTAAAGCTGGGTTGGGTTGACTGGATTGGGTAAAATCCAGGCATACAAACCATGGATGCGTTTCCAGCCTAAGTACCTTTTTCCCCGTCCGAGCTCCTTTTGCAGAGTTTCAGGCTCGGAGGTACAGCGGTACAGGGGAAATGATAGTCCAGGAGATGGGTAAATTAAAAAAAGATAGAAAATTGGGAGCAGTTCGTCCCTTTCCCATTTTGTCTTCTCCGCTTATTAAAAAAAATAAGATTATGAAGTCGTCGGGGGTAATTAAACTCAGCTACAATTAATCGAACAAGTCTAGATACTCTGTAGAACTGGTTACTAACTAGTTGACACCTGAATCAGCCGGCAGTTGGCAGCCCTCCGTTAATTAAAAAGGAAGGGCACACAGACCACAGGAATGTGTGTGGTGTGTGGTGTGGATGGGCAAACTCGGTGTGTGTGTGTGTTGAACCCACACACACCTTCTTCCTTGCCCACCCGAGCAGCCCAATGACCATTCCTGCCCTGCCCGGCGCAACTCAGGTACGCTGGACCGGGGCCACTTGTGGCCCATACACAGTACGTACGCGCTGGGCTTTTGGTTTGTCTCCTGCAGAATCTGGGACACACACACACCACAGTGACCACACACAGGGGCTGCGAGCCATGGTTGATTTTATTTCTAGTCTGTTCGGCTGATTCTTATCGCCTATCGATCGGGCGGGTTTCCAGCTGGACGGTGCCGGCCTTCTATACCACTCCCGGTTTAATGCGACGGGGGGAAAAGGGAATTTGGGAGGGGCGGTGGTTCACTGCTGCCCAACTGCGCCCAGGGGGAGGAGATATGAAAAGTAAAATAAGGGAAGTGAATAATGAACCCACCTTGAACTAACTGACTAAAGGGAAAGGGGAAAATCATAATCAAGGAATAAAATCACTAACAAGAAAGAGGTAATAGAGTCAGGGATGACACTACCAACAGGGCTGGAAGCAGAAACAAACTAAGGAGTCTCAGCTAACTAAGTATTTACTTCCTAGTCCCTTAGCGACCAACCAGGGTGGACATCGGCCGTCATACCTTACGCGGTGCATCCATGCAGACGGCCGGGGAGCAGCTCCCGGTCTGCTGGTTGACTGGTGAATCGACTAAATAAAGGATTTTTAGGCACACAACCATCTGCTTTGGCGTCGAAGCTGAAGGAATTGACATTGGTGGGTGAGAGAATTTATTGGATTTTGTAGGTGAGTGAGTGAGTGACTGACTGAATCTGTATGGTGTGCTTTGTAGATTTTGGGTCTTGATTGTTGGGATTTGATTGATGTATGGTATGTATTGAGGCAGGCAGCGTTGGGTAGGTTATAATATCATTATATTGTCTCCTTCTGAACCGCTCTTTTGTCTTGTCTTGTCTCGCAATCTTATGGATTTTCCTCATGGATGATTTGCCCCCATCACAATCACAATCACAATCACTTTTCACCAAGCAGTTTGAGTTTGTCGTCATTTCCTCTGTTAGTCTAGGTTTAAAAAAAGAAAGTGAAGAAATAGACGCACTAGCTTCAAGGACCAGGCGATCCGAGCAGAAAACTAGTCCAGCCAGCCAGTCCAACGTCTATCACGATCTGCTACAAACCGGACATTGCCTTCCTTTGTTGGTAAGTGTATGTGCCTTCAACCGGCGGATGAAGTATCGCGCTCTGCCTTTTTCACTTTTTCACCACCACCTCCTTTAATCCCAGTTCATCTGGTTTTATACCCGCTTGTAACCCTTCTTTGGATCCTTCCTCGAGTTCGGTTTACTGCCACGAGGACAAAACCAACGCCATACTAACCTCCCTCATCTCCAATTCGCAGGTCGGGGAACCAACCAACCGGGACGAGGGTGCTGGAGTACCCGCCACAGTTGAACCAGCAGTTCGATTTCTCGACGGCTTCCATCCTTCACACCCCACGACGGTCCATGCCATCCGGCCACTAATCCACTCAATCCACTTATTTGCCTCTCCTTCGTCTGGGTCACAGCCACCAAGTGCTCCCGCAAAGTGGTGGTAGGAGTCAGGACGGCCCATTATTCTCCTATCGCCGTGCCTTTGACTCGACCGCTTACTACTACTTACTTCTTGCCTCTCCCACCCACCATCATCATCGTCATCATCGCCGCCAACTTTATTATCTTCCGACTTCCATAACCGGTTGTGTCGCAAGGAGCAGGCGAACTATCTGGTAACTCAAAGAAAAGGGAAAAAATATTAAACCATTCTGCTGGGGGGAGGACCTTTCCAGAACACTGCAACCCTGGGAACCTTCCGCCGAGCTGTCACGCGTGGATCCTCGTCATTGTCCACCCACTGAACCACTCCAGCGCACCCATTCTATTCCCATCCACCCATCCATCCATCCATCCATCCTCAGGGGCGGGGGGAACACCAAAGGAAAGCGGGCCGCTTTTTTTCTGTCCCAGTCGTCGCAATCCA